GTTTCTTATTTTGCATCGCAAAAGAAATAAACTCTAAACAAGATGCAACCCTGTTTTAAATTAAACAATTTAAACCTTGAAATGTTCGAACTTGGTTTCAAACTTAAGTAATTTTAGTGTTCTTTTACATTACACAATAATTTAGCAGACTAAAGACGAGCTTCTTCATTTTCATTTTCTGATCGGCTGACAATCTTCATCAGTTTTTGTCGTTTGTGCAGCGGCTGCGGTTCTACAGGAATGTAGCAAATTTATGTTGTAATGATAATCAAACAAAACTCTTGACTTTAAATAAGTAAACAGATATAAACAGTTACCTATTTAAGCATCAAGGTGGGAAAATATAAACGTAGGACAACATCGGTTAACAACATCTATGCTACATTGAGATTCGATCTCGGGTCTGTTGAAGCTCCTCGAAGCTCGTGTGTTGCGTTGATCACTGAGCTATCGTCTGTACGCTGTTAAAGTTGTAAAGCCTCGTTCATGTAGCCTAAATGTTTTTATTGCAATGTTTTATGTTGAAATGTTTTCATTATTTATTCAATTACATTTCAGTAGCCTAATTTCAGTATTGTGATTATGAATTATTTTAACTACGTTTCACTTGTTGAATTCTTCTGCTACCAGCTTTCAATCGCTCTGAATCAGCGCGGTGCGGCAGCAGATTACGCATTAGAGAGAATAAACCGGAATAAACGAACACTTTTCAGAGTCTATGATTGTAGCGCCTCTTAGCGGTAAAAGGCAGCAAATACACCACACATTTTACCGCCGCGGTGGAACAGCTGATGTGGGCGTTGTCATGGCTTGCCTCGACATTTGCGTTTGAATAGCGCGCGTCGTCCGTGGGCGTGTCAGATTAACGCGTAATGAAGTGTAATGAGCTGGGGGAAAAAATACTGACAGCACTCTCTTTTCATACAGATTGCATAAACTGAGAATATTTGTTTTTTATATATATTACTTCATTTAAAAGAAGAGAATTCAAGCTTCATAAAGAAAAACCTCTCGTGCCTGTGTGACAAGTAATCGCGGAGTTACAGTTAATCTTAGGACGCGTTTCAGAATGGACTTCACTGACAGAGAGAACGCAAAACTCGCATCATGTTTGTTTTTCTTTATTTGGTGAAAAGCACAACACTTTGTTTTTATTGTGAGTATCCACAAAAAAAATAGAAACTTAACAGGATCTAATGATGTACAACACTTATATGTAAGATCAAAATTAACAGAGTAATTTGAGTCTCTTTTGCACTGATAAGGAAAAAAGTGAGCTGGTATCGCCGGCGAGACCGCCGACCCCAGAGAGTTAAACCATTCAAGCGCGATAAGATGCAAAAAAAAGAACTAAAATCTGTACTGCGTGTACTGTTCTCTTTAACGCTTGAACGGTCAAAAACACAAAATTATGTCAAAATTCCCGTTCTGTTGAGTATCCTCGTAAGCACAGTCTTAAATTCTCAATTATATTTAATTTCTGTATATTAATGCAGAATCTATGTTAGACCTACCTGAGACATCAGTACCAGTACTGGCATCAATGATACTGGCCTTCATTCACAGTGCTTAGTAAAAAGATGGCATTAAACAAATATTTAAAATATACCGTCTTTATGTTGTTTCTACATTATTTTGGAGATTCAATGTAAAAGTATTTCAATATAAAAATATATTAAAAACTTTAATGTTAGGTGTGATTAATTGCAGAAAAGCGTGGGATTAATTAGTTAATTTTTTAATCAATTGACAGCACTAATTGATATAATAAAAATCAAATTTTATTTATTAAAAGAAAGTCAATTCACCCTTCGCCCGGAGTTTGAGACAGGCAATCTGATCAATCATAATCCGACATTTTGTCTGACAAAACAGTCAGGAGAGTTGTAGTAGATAAACATCAGTGGACTTGAACTTGAAAAACGGTGTGTATTGACGACTTTCTGCGGTTGAAACAGCATTCCATCTTTATTTGATATCCATAACTTAACTAGAAGGAAGAGATGATCGGTTCACAAACAGCTTTAACTGAGATTAATCTATCACGACACATTAAAGAGCCACAAAACGGTATTTATTGTTTAAATGTCTTAAAGAAAAGGCAAACTTTGAAAGCTGAGACTTTGTTTCATATCAAAAGTAACCTGTTCTCTCCTGCCTGTTGGCGCGTTGTCAGTATCCTCTCTGCTCCGCAATGTATTTATCAGAGAACATGATATGTGGTGTAAGAGCGCCATGGCTTGTTGGACGAAGTAACAGTAACTAAATAGAGTGGGTCTTTGCGAACAGTCAATAGGGTCCAATGTTATTCTGGACCAATCTGACACTCATAGGATGGTCAGAAACAGCTCTTCTTCAAAATATCATCTTCTGTGTTCCAAAGACAGTGATACGTAATTGGAATCACATGAGGATGAGTAAATGGCACCATTTTTGGGTGGACTATCCCTTTAATGGTTGATAACATAATCTTTAAGAATATTTCCTTTCCTCTGCTCTAGAATCCATTTGTGCTTGCACAAAGCATGGTTTAATTAAAAAGAACTAACTACAGGAAGTATCGGCTGTTATTAATCATTCCAGTGGGCTATTGATATCTGGAGTGCAGTGATGATGTACGACGAGCCGTGTGTATTTATCACTTTGCCCACTCAAACTGTGCCTGCCCTGGGAGGCTGGGGTTAGGAAGGCCCCCTACCACCTCCACCTCCAGGACTTAATGTAGCGCAGAGCCAGAGGAGGGCACATGCACGGTTCGGGATACAAGACAAAAGACATCCAGCTACACCCCAACAAAAGACAGAACGCTCCTTCAACCAGCCCATCTGAAGTTTTAATTAACAAGAAAAATTGTTAGGATACAACAAAACAACTATGTCTTCTGCATAGTGTTACATGGCCTCCAATAGTTAGAGAATGGAGAACAGCCTGGGTGGTTAAGAATCTAAAGGACTGATGTTTATTGATTTAAACACATCTATGCAGGCACATGCTTTATGTTAGCTACAGTCTGAGGCTTTTTGTTCAGATCAAGGCTGATTTATACTTCTGCGTCGGAGCTACGCCTTATCCTCTACGCTGCAGGCTACGCGTTGGTTTTCATTTATACGTCTGCGTCCTTGTCCGTGTTGATGCGCAATTACACATGCAGAAGGAGCATGTGAAATCTGAGGTAGGGGTTCTAGTAGACCAATCACAGCACTTGCATCCGCGTAGAATTGACACGTTGTTCCATTTTTGGAGAGGTGCACGTCAGGGTAAGCCGAAGGGTATGCGTACTCAGTGTTTCCCCTACAATGTATTTAGCAGTGGCGAAGCGCCACCACTGGATTTTCAGTGCCGCTACAAAATCTTCACATGATCAGTAATATCACGACATTCACTTACACACCTAAAAACACTGAGACATGGCGACCGCCGGCGCTGCTAATGCGGTGGCTCTGAATCCATTTGTTGACAAGAAAGGAGGAAAGAGCCACATATGGAAATATTTTCGATTAGGCTAATGTCACGTTGCCATAAGGGGCCGTTCACATAGCGCGTTTTTCTGCGCGTGCAAATTCGTTATTTCAAATGTAGGCGCGCGGGAAGCGTGCTCGTAGCAACGACAGACTCCACGGGAGAGCAAGCGCTTGTGGAAAGGAGAAAGCGGCGCTCTCCATGAGGACGAGGAAGTATCAGCAAAGAATTAATTGATTTCTAGCCCTTGCATTAGCTTTACTACTAGATATATTTATGGAGATGAGAAATAAAAAGCCGCCCTGTACAGCTATGATCAGCTGTTCGGCCGAGCTTTCGATGTTGTTACGGAAATGCCGAAGCTGATCGGTTGGTTTTTGTCACATGGCCTGTTGAGATGAGATGTTACGATGTTTTCATCTCGCCACGCGCACCTACAATTGAAATAACGAATTTGCCTGCAAAAAACGCGATATGTGAACGGCCCCTAAAGTGGACTCGGGTGTGGTTGTATCGGGGTAGTTTTACGAGTAGGAGTACATGAGCACAGTATCGGACCGACACCCAAGTACTGTTTATGTCATTATTAGTCCGTCAGAAAAGCAGTTCTAGGCTTATTCTTGGCTGGATAACTCTTAGCAGGTTTAAAAAGCCTTTTAAAATTAAATATGAACACAGTTTTGGATTAAATAAAAGTACAGTCAAGTCAAATAAAACACGTTTTTTCTCCTGTATTGTTGGGTAACACTACAATAAGACACCATTCATTAACATTACCTAATGCGTTATCTAACATCAACACATTGAGTTAACAATATATTTTTACAACATGAATTAATGTTTGTGAATGTTATTTAATACAAACACTTGATTGTTCATGTTTGATCAGTTCATTCATTGTGCATTAAATAATGTTAACATAAAACTTTTGCTTTTAAAAATGTTAGAAAAATTAAGTGCTCCCAGATTGGGTGTGGCCTTTGCCATTAAGATAAAAATTTCAATAAATTCTAAATAATCTTTTTCTGGGTTGTGCCATTTCATTTTTCCCCTATCAATATCTACCTTATAGCTGAAAATTAACACAAAACAAAAACGTGAAAAATCCTGTCTAAAATGATAAAATGAAGGTTTCTGTTTGTGACCAGTTCAAGGTACGTGCTGCGATAATCATGCATTGAATCTGTTGATGGTATGTCATATTTAAATTGTCTCAAAATGTCAATTTCTATCCGCAAAACTTGCCAGAAGTCATGGTTTAAGGGGTTATTTAAAAAAAAAAACAATTCTTCCGGAGGTACGCCCCTGGACCCTCCCGCGCGCGACTTGGTAACTTCCTCCGGCACGTGACAGCACCGCTGCTGGAGAAATTTCTAGGGGAAACACTGTGTGCTACACAGCCTATGACGTAGCTATGGCGTAAATTCGACGCAGAAGTATAAATTGGGCTTTAGTCCCAGAATGACAACTTGAAAGGGTTACCAGCCAGAGTTTTGTAGTGTACGGATGAATAAAATGCTGATTGTACCTTTTTGATCCAGGTGAGCAAGCAGCTGTGGTGAGCCACGAGATTCTTACAATCACAGAAGGTTCTCAGTGGATCCTCACCCACCAGGCCCACATCTCGGCAAATGAAGCACTCAGACTCATCTGTCAAAAGAAGAATGAGAGTTTTAACCCTGAGTATAAGAACAGAGTGGCTCTAGCAGGAAGAGTCACCAAAGATTTAGATAAGACAAATATATGTTTACATAGCACTTGAGTGATTAATAATGCACTGTCACACTCTGTGTTTTTTCTCCAATTAAAACATTTTACACCTAAGGAAGAAAATAATAAATGTTTATATACTGTATATATATACACTCACCGGCCACTTTATTAGGTACCCCATGCTAGTAACGGGTTGGACCCCCTTTTGCCTTCAGAACTGCCTCAATTCTTCGTGGCATAGATTCAACAAGGTGCTGGAAGCATTCCTCAGGGAGTTTGGTCCATATTGACATGATGGCATCACACAGTTGCCGCAGATTTGTCGGCTGCACATCCATGATGCGAATCTCCCGTTCCACCACATCCCAAAGATGCTCTATTGGGTTGAGATCTGGTGACTGTGGAGGCCATTTTAGTACAGTGAACTCATTGTCATGTTCAAGAAACCAATTTGAAATGATTAGAGCTTTGTGACATGGTGGAAGTAGCCATCAGAGGATGGGTACATGGTGGCCATAAAGGGATGGACATGGTCAGAAACAATGCTCAGGTAGGCCGTGGCATTTAAACGATGCCCAATTGGCACTAAGGGGCCTAAAGTGTGCCAGGAAAACATCCCCCACACCATTACACCACCACCACCAGCCTGCACAGTGGTAACAAGGCATGATGGTTCCATGTTCTCATTCTGTTTACGCCAAATTCTGACTCTAACATCTGAATGTCTCAACAGAAATCGAGACTCATCAGACCAGGCAACATTTTTCCAGTCTTCAACTGTTCAATTTTGGTGAGCTCTTGCAAATTGCAGCCTCTTTTTCCTATTTGTAGTGGAGATGAGTGGTACCCGGTGGAGTCTTCTGCTGTTGTAGCCCATCCGCCTCAAGGTTGTGCGTGTTGTGGCTTCACAAATGCTTTGCTGCATACCTCGGTTGTAACGAGTGGTTATTTCAGTCACTGTTGCCCTTCTATCAGCTCGAACCAGTCTGGCCATTCTCCTCTGACCTCTGGCATCAACAAGGCATTTCCGCCCACAGAACTGCCGCTCACTGGATGTTTTTTCTTTTCGGACCATTCTCTGTAAACCCTAGAGATGGTTGTGCGTGAAAATCCCAGTAGATTAGCAGTTTCTGAAATACTCAGACCAGCCCTTCTGGCACCAACAATCATGCCACGTTCAAAGTCACTCAAATCACCTTTCTTCCCCATACTGATGCTCGGTTTGAACTGCAGGAGATTGTCTTGACCATATCTACATGCCTAAATGCACTGAGTTGCCGCCATGTGATTGGCTGCTTAGAAATTAAGTGTTAACGAGCAGTTGGACAGGTGTACCTAATAAAGTGGCCGGTGAGTGTATATATATATACATTAGAATGTATATATATATATATATATATATATATATATACATTAGATGAGGTATTATTGGTAGCACAGTCAAAGCGGTAATCATTTTATTAATCTTATTTAGAAATGCAGAAGTAAATGAACAACTCATACTTTTGTTTTTGTTTTGTTGGCCATTGTTTGTATTAAGACAACCTTTAACTGTGCAAAGTATTTTAGAAATAAATACTTTTAATTTAAACTCAACTATACTGAAATGGTAAGTCTTTTGACATTGATGATAAGATATTTTTTTTTCTTTTTTACTTTGGGATATATACTTGATGACTTGATATACTGTATAACAAACAATCATATGTCCATATGATTTTTCGTCCACTTTTACATTAGAGCGTTAATGTCTACCTGCTTGAATTGCATGTTCCCTGCTGTGTTTTACTTCACCACAAAATGTCATGTTAAAGGGATAGGCCTAGTCCACCCCCAAAATCAAAATTGCCATCATTTATCCTCATGGTGTTCCAAAAATGCTTCATCCACACCACTAGGTGTCAATATAAGTGCATGACATCCATCATATTGGCCAGCACAACATTAAAAAAAAATCCAGAGTGCACCTTGACACTTAAAATGTGACATGAGAACCTAGTGCTTAATGGTGTGCTGCAAAACAATTTATAGATCGAGTGTATGCCCATTACTGAATTTCTGTGGGCGTAATAACAAATTTACATAACATTAGGCATGCACAAGATAATTATTTGATGATGACAAGAGAGAAATCAAGGTGTTTGTCTTTAATGCCTCACCTAATGCTAACTGCTTATTTACTTGTCACTTTGACATTTTGTCACACTAACAGTGATTGACAGAATTTGTTTTTGTCAAGTCATTAATGCGCTCATACTCTCAAAGTGCTGCCGCAGGTACAATCTGAACAGAAAATTACTCACAACTTCCATAAACAGCGAACAAAACGGGAGAAAACAAGCAATCACGTCAAGCAATAGTTAACCCGTAATGAAGACTTAATCAACCATTAACACCTGAGTGCTTGCAGGGAAAATAATTATCTCAGCTTAATTTGTTGTGCAAATTATTTATTAATTAATTAATTAATTACGAACCATAGGAAGAATAACCCTCGGTACTTCTAAAGAAATAATCTATTCCAGACTGTCCATGAGCCATTATCTGAAGACTAAACCCAGATAGCATTATGCTTAATGTTACTAAATATATGCATCTTATAATGTTGTCCTCCATTTTTCTTATTTGCTTTGTCTGCAGGGTGTCTGTGAGTGAAGAGAAAAGTTCCTCCAGTATCTGCCGTGGAGGAGTGTGTGTCTGGATGTCTGCTTTTTGTCACACTAGCAGACACTTCTTCATCCAGTCCCCAGACTGCTTGGCTGCCCAGTATTCGCCGGCATATACATCAAAGTTCTGCAAGACGCTGGATGTTAACGTCCAAGAAAAATGCAATTAGAAGATATGCCTATAAGATCCAGCCATGCTATCGAGTATAATGCAAGGGTAGTTGTACAGAAACCAAATGTTTCGATATAAAACAACATTATTTCATTTGTTTAAATGCATTCCTCAGCCATCTGTCAAATAGGATTTAAATAGGGAAACGAAACATCCCATGGCATCCAGAGTCATTCATGAAGGGGAAAGTCATCCTGCCTCTTTTATCAGCATATCAGTAATAGCCTTGTCTTTACAGGGCTTGTACAGGACAGGAGAACATATGGTTGTAATCATCCACCATTTGAAGCCGAATCTATGAGGAGGAGGAAATCTTGGGTGAAGACACTGGAAATTAAAGAGGAAGTTTGTTGAAGTTTGTCAAAGCTATCTGTGACTCCACAGTGGACAATCCAACGTACGCTGTGTGTCACTCTACTACATACACTCAAAAGTCCCTTGGAGCAAAAACAAGTTATTTGAAATGTTGGAAACCACATCACCCCCACGGCTATTGTATTAATTTATCTTAGACAAGCAATTATGTTGACGGAGCAAAGTTAAATTAAAATGGTAGCTATTTTCGTTCATTCAGATAATGTAGCCTAATCGGAAAAAATGCAACCAATACGAAAACAGAAGAACGGACTCCGGAGGTGAATTACAATTTGTCAATATCTGTTAAAGACAAAATAAACGATGACACTCCTTACGGCGTAGACTACAATAGGCTTTATGCCGAGCGTCACGTGACCAAACCGGAAAACGGGTCTCATTGCATCAGTTTGTCAGAGAAAGTGTTAACGGCCGTAAGAACTAACTACGATACCTATGGTCTCTAGGTTGTACGTCACGCATCACACACATGACCAGCATCAGCCAATAGTGAACCTGCGTGTGACGTGCAACCTAGAAGCTTTGCGCAATATCACTACGTGAAATATCACTGCCGTACAGAGAAGGAAATGATTAGTTGAATAAAGTCATTATTTTTGTTTGTTTTTTGCGCACAAAAAGTATTCTCGTCGCTTGATAAACTTAAGGTTGAGCCACTGTAGTCACTCGGACTATTTTAAGGATGTCTTTCATAACTTTTGGGCCGGTCAGATATTGCTTATATATTGCCGGTCAGTTTCGATCCCTTAAAGTGTAAATTGCAGGTTAACCACCACAACCAATTAATGTGTAAATTAAAGTGCTTAATATGTATACATAAAAAAAAATCTGTCTTAAAATGCGTTAAAATAACAATTATTGGGGTTTCTTCAAAGGTAGCATGTTTTCTACAGTAACTGGGTGATGACGTCATAAGAGGGAGCGCGGGCGGTAATGCACTCTCTCTGTGTGTGCGGGTTGAGGGAGAATAAAACTATTCGCGGGACTCCCGCAAACTAGAAATATCTCTGAATAAAACATAAAAACTAATACACTTTTGTGTATCTGTTGCAGAAAAGCAACAATAACAACTGAAACAAAATAGAAACGATTTACAGGCAGAGTTTCTATTTCTAACATGTCTGCAGCGTACTTGAAAGTATTTTGAGGTACAGAAAAAAAGTCTTTTTGTGGGCGGGAGCGGGACAAAACATACATGTTGCGGGCGGGAGAAAGTAATATAGAAAGTAGTTGAGAACGTCAGTAATAACGACCCACGTATAAAAAATAGTCGGGTTTAAACCGGGCTCGGGCTCATAATTACAGTTAATGTGACGGGCAGGGCCGGACCGGGCTCGGGTAGGGTCTTGCTTGATTTTTTTGGGCCTGATCTAAGCTCTACCTCGGGTAAGTTATGCTAACACTTACAGGCACGAATCAGCCGTTTGTCCTTGGAGAACTTGTGGAGCCTCTCCCCCGGTTTTGATGTATTCGTACATCCCGCACAAACACAATAGTTAACCATTTTTGCAAGCTACTAGCTAGGTCTCCAATATAACGTAACTCTAGCTTGGAGCATAGACAGAAAAAGCTTGGAGTACCTTTTATGACATCACGGCCAGCTAGTGGAAGGGAGGGGGCGTGCTTAAAACCACTGTAAAACGTACCAACTTTTCATATTATATTCAGCATTTGGGTATAAAAAAACATAAAAAAACAATGGTGGACGGATTTTATCTTTATGTTTAGTAAGCACATTGCATTATCTTCGTGAAAAATTTTACCTGCAATTTACACTTTAAGAAGCCTATGGAGGAGTGATCCAGCTCT